GAGTGAGAGCAACGATGCCTATATAACCCCACGTGAGGGGACAAATGACAGAATGGCAGGTGAATGGTCCATTGGGTGGTGTAAGATACAAGGAGGGGGAAAAGGGAATAACAACCATAATAATACTTAATCTAATAACTAGGGTTCTTGGGGGTAGGGTGGGGGAGTGCAGGACAAAGCAAAGGGGAGCTGACACCAAAGAGTGCCAGAAGAAAGGAGATGTTTGGGAAGAAAATGATGGTGGCAGCAAGTGTACAATCATGCTTGATCTGATTGAACTATGGTTTGTTATATTATCTATAGAGTTCCCAATAAAATGGGGGGGAATAAACCAAAGAGTTATAGCTGGAAACCCACAGGGGCAGTGCTGCCCTGTCCTCCAGCATTGCTGAGAGTCGGAATGACTTGGGCAGTGAGCTGAGTTAGAACTTTTATCCCAGGCCAGTCGGATCTATTGTGGGTCTCTCGGTCAGGGCCGAAGCAGGAAATGTACCACTAACTGTCCTTAAAAGTATTAAATCGGAGAAAGGTTCAGCAAAGAAAAAGGTGTCTTTATACAGGGGTGGGTCGCTCACTCTTTGGGCTAGTGACAGTGGACTATTCCGCCCCTAGACCTTAGGGGCCAGAGCGGGGAGGATGCGCTAGTTGAGAAGGAGAGTAAGGTGAGAGGGTCACCTTGGGGCAAGGGACAGGCGGAGGCAGCTTCTGGTGCAGGAGTCCTGGGGATCACTTCTCACTGCCCAACAAACACCAAACTCACTCTCATCAAGCCAATGCCGACTCCTGGCAACGCCATAGGACGGGGAGAGCTGGCCCTGTGAGTTCCCGCGACGACCTCCTGATGGGAGTAGCAAGCCCCTCTTCCTCCTACAGACCAGCTGGTGGATCCCACCGCTGCCTCTGCAGTTTGCAGCCTGAGCACAACCGCCGCTCTGCCAGGGCTCCTCCAAGGGTGGGCTGAACCCACAAGAGACCAGGGAGCTCGGCCCACTAGTGTGGCCAGCTGATGAATGTACACACAGAACAGAGACGGGTACAGGGTGGATCTGAAGCAGCAGCAGAAGGTACCCAGAGACCCCCTCAGGCCCCTCTCCCAGAATCGGCGTGGGCTGGACACCAGGCTTCTCGAGAGACCGATTCAGGCTCTGGTGTCTGGGCGGCTGCATTGGAAGCCTGGCGCCACGGTTCACAGCCACGTGATCTCAGTGAGCTCAACCCCTCTCAGCCGATCGACCCATCTGTGAGATAGGGCTGTTGTGAGGCTAGAATGAAATTGTTGCTTTATTCTGTACACACTAACCCAGAACCTACTTAATGTGCCATGCTAAGGAGCCCTGGTGACAGTGGATGACAGGTTGGGTGGCTAACTGCAAGGTCAGCAGTTCGAATCCACTAGCTGCTGCTGGGAAGAAAGATGAGGCTGTCTGTTCCCAGATCCACAGCCTTGGAAACCCTGTGTGCAAGGTCATCGATGGCAGTGGGTTCCTGCTCTCCTAGAGGAGCCCTGGGGCACAGTGGGCTGCTCCCCACAGGTCTGCAGTTCAAGCCCACCCCCACTATGAGGGAAAAAGATGAGGCTGCCTGCTGCAGTCAGGAGCCACAGTATTGGAAACCAAAGAGGCAGGTCCACTCTGCCCTGTAGGGCTGCAGGGTGTCAGAATCGACCCGATGGCTGTGGGTGGGTTCTGTGTCATGCAAAGGAGCCCTGGTGAGACTGTGGGCTCGGCATTGGGCTGCTCACTGCCTGGTCTGGTCGGCAGTTCAAACCCAGGCCCACTCTTTGGGTAGGCAGGTCAGGCTGCCGCCTGCTGCTGTAGGGACTTAAAGTCTCAGGAACCCCGTGTACGGTCGAGAGGAGTCAGAATCGAGTCAATAGCAGTGGGTTGGTTCTGGTTTACATGCCAGCTATACCCTGGAGAATACCCAGAGGAAGGGTCTCACTGACGAGTGGGGGAAGTGCCCATTAAACAAACACTCCAGTGCACACATGACGGGCTGGCTTCTGTGCGGAGGGAGAGCAGCTGCCTAAATTCGTCATCACAGAGAAAGGATCCAAGACAGAGTCTAACAAAAAGGCATTTAAAGTGAGCTCTGGCCACGGGAAGAGTGGAGACCACAGCTCTGTGGTGGGAAAGCCCTAACATGCCGGAGAGCCCTTCTGAGACAGGTACGGGGGAGCAGCTGGAGAGGCAGCCAGCGGTCTGGTCACACAAGCTGGGATAAGGAGTTGGGATAGTATTTCAAGAGCAATAGGAGCAGCTGCTCAAGCTTTAAAACCAGGAGAGTGACACAATGGCCTCATGGGATTGGTGCCACCCAGTGAGGCAGCTCCCAGGTGGGTGCGCCTGCCCGCCCCAGCTGCCTCAGGGCTAGCCGCTGCGCTGGACAACTCCACCCTCCCAGATCTGCCAGCCAAACACTCCCCTCTCCCATTGGCCAAAGCGAAGACCCTCTTCTCTCCGCCCAGTGCCAGGCGCTGGGGTCCACACTGAGAGTGGGTGACGGTTGGGTGTTCCAGCGGCCACACTGGGTGGTGGGCAGGCCACTGGAGTGGCTGCTACTTTCTCCTTTCCAAAGCTCTGCAGACTCTCCCCTCGGGATGGATGGTGACAGTCCCCCAGGGGAGCCCCCTACCCTGCCTGGCATGCAGTGTGCATTGTTCTAGGGTAAAAAACGAGACCCCACGTCCCAACTGTAAGGAGAGCATTTATGACATCATAAGCAGGAGGAGGGAGACCGTTATCATGAGTTCCGGGGACTCAAAGCCACGCAGCCACTTCTGTAGGACATGGAGAATAAAGGAAACGCACAAGCCATGATTAGTGGTGGCTGAACACACCACAAGGACGGGAGGGACGACCACAGTGAGAAGAGAGCCGTGATTGGGACACGGGTCAGATTTGGCAGAAGAGCTTACAAGATCGGTCCAGGGCAGTCAGACCTGACTCCGGGCCGGACTCAGGACTTTTCCAGCCCCTCCGATTGCCAGTGCTCTCTGCCTGAGGGTACAGCGCGTCCCACTCCCTGTTTAAAGGTCAGAAACAATTCAGTGGAGCCTTAAAAAAAATCCCCAGTGGGGTCTCTGCAAATGGATTTTGGGTTTCCACTGCCATGCAGCAGACTCAAAAAACTCACCACCATTGTGTTGATTGTAGAACTGCCCCTGGGAGTTTCCCAGACTGCAACTCTTTCTGGGACAGAAAGCCTCCTCTGTGTTCTACAGAGTGGCTGGTGGTTTCAGACGTCTGACCTTCCAGTTAGCAGCCCAGCCCACAATCACTGCACCACTAGGGTTCGACAAATGGGGTGCTCAGAATTTAAGCTCAAATCCTGCACCCAGTGTTTCCAGAAAAAAAGCAAGGCGCCCTGCCCAGGTTTCTTCCTTGGCCTTGCTGTGGGACCCTGGGTGGGCTACCCGCTTTCTCCTCTGCAGCCTCTGGAGCTGCGGACAGCGCTCTGGGCCCTTCTTGCCCTGAATTCTAGGGCTCCAATTAGAGCCGTCACGGGGTGGGGGGCTATCTCAGAATGGTCAGCGGAAGCAGGGCAGACTCGGGGGATAGGCTGGCTTCCCCAGGGGCTCCCCTGAGGTAAGGCTGAAGCGCCTGCAAGTGCTAAGGTATGATTCCAAAGGACGTCCGGGCCTTGCCAGACCCCACAGAGGATCATCCTCGTGTTTTCGGCAGGGCTGTGTGCTCTTGAGACCCAGGCCACCGCCGGTGAGGCCCCCTGACCAGGAGCCGCCTTCTCCTCTGTGGCAGGTTCATGTACTGGTCTGACTGGGGGAGCCAGGCCAAGATCGAGAAGTCTGGCCTCAATGGTGCGGAGCGGCAGACACTGGTGTCGGACGACATCGAGTGGCCCAACGGAATCACGCTGGGTGAGCCCCACCTCCTGAGGACTGGGAGCCCCCACTGTCCAGAGTGCCATGGCCTGGCTTTCAGTGCCCGGGCCCTTGCTCCCCCTGATGGTCGGCCCCTGCCTGGCCTGGCCTGGCCTGCAAGGTGGGCAGGGCGAGGCGCAGAGTCCCAGGCACATGACCCTGCCCTCCTCCCCAAGATTTGCTGAGCCAGCGCTTGTACTGGGTGGACTCCAAGCTGCACCAGCTGTCTGGCATCGATTTCAGCGGGGGCCACAGGAAGATGCTGATCTCCTCCACCGACTTCCTGAGCCACCCTTTTGGGATAGCTGTGTTTGAGGTGAGCCCTGTGGGGGAGCCTCACGGCCCCACCGGGAAGCCAGAGAGGCATATTCAAATGGGGCCTTGTCCCTGAGACTTGTCCAAATGGGGAACGGCAGAGAGGCCCCCTGTACTCAGTGCATGCACTGCTGGCCCACCGAGGATTCGCACCCCAGGGTCCACCTGGCGCCTTTCCGGGGACCCCTCCTGCAGAGCACGCCTCAGAACCCGTGTGTTTGCTGTTGGTGCCCGCAGCCCCCAGCTCCCCAAAGAAGGAGGTGCCCAAGAGGGAAGGGGGATATGCATTTCCTTAGGGTTGCTTCTTGTTGGAAACAGCCTGAGCCTTGCTGGGCCCTGGGAACATAAACATGTATCAGACCTTGTCTCGGTCCTCACGAGGCTCCCAGGAAGGTTGCACGTCAAGACAAGACATCTTCCTGTGTTCTGACCTTCCACACACACCCAACCCTAGCGGTGAGGAAACCCCAGCCCACCACCCACCTCTTGGTGAAGGGACAGTGGTCCGTGGTGGCCTGTGACAGTGCTTGCTTGGAGCAACATTGTCTAGTTCTGCTCTGCAGTGGTGGGCAGAACCCCTTCTCCAAGTCTGGCCCCTGCTTCACAAGGCACGCATGTGCATGGCCACACGTGTATGTGACTATGTGTGTGTGCAAATGCATGTAAGTGCACCTGTGTACACATGTGCGTTCCTGCATGTGCAGGTCCATGTGAGTGTGCAAGCGTGGACATTGCACTCATACAAGTCCTGCGGGCACCGTGTGCCTTTGTGCGTGTGGATGAGCATCTGAGGGTGCGTGTGATGTGCGTGTGCCCAGGATGCGTGGCTGAACCTGTGAACGTGAGTCCACCCGTAGATGCACCCCTCGGCTTGTCCACCTGTGTGCTCACACGTGCAGACACCCAGAGGCAGGCGGAGGGAGGCCCTGCGAGGACTTCCCAGTAGCTCCCAGTCGTGTTCCAGCAACAGAGACTAGAGGCATTCCATCTTGGGCTCCTGCTGGGCCCCGGGGAGCAGGCTTCACTCGGCATGACCAAGCAGGCGTGTGGCTTCAAGCCAAAGCCGAGACTCCCAGAGTGCCCCTGTGACAGTCGGGAACCAGGAGAGCATGCATGTACACAGCAGCACGGAGGCCGAGGGACACACTGCTCCTAGACTGGACTCCTCAGGGAGGTGTGGGGGCTGGTCGAGGCCAGGAACCGCCAGACCACAGTCATGGGTGCCTGCTCGAGGCCCTCCCTGCTCTGCATCTGCGCCCCGCCACAGGACAGGGTGTTCTGGACAGACCTGGAGAACGAGGCCATTTTCAGTGCCAACCGGCTGAACGGCCTGGAGATCTCCGTCCTGGCTGAGAACTTGAACAACCCACATGACATCGTCATCTGCCACGAGCTGAAGCAGCCCAGAGGTGAGCCGGCCCCGGCCCTGTCCTCCCAGGGTGTGTGCAGCCCCGGGCCATGTCTCCGCAGCCCCCGCGGGAACGGCAGGGACCTTTGGCGTCGGTAGAATGCTGTGACATCACGCGTCTCACTTTGTCCCCCGAGCCGTGTGTCATCGGGCTGGATGAAAACAAATCCGCAAGCCTTGCTGTAGTGTGGCCGATCCTTTGGCGGTGGTGCTGCGGCTTGCGCTGAGCCCTGGTAGCCGAGGGGTGGTATCAGAGGCGGCAGAACTGAGAGGAGGCTGCTCAGGTGTCTTTTGTACCCATGGTAGGGTAAGCGGAAGCGGGGCTCCTTAAACTTTTTCCAATTGAGACCCCTTTTTGCCCAAGACATTCGCAACGCAGGCAAGCACTGCCAGAAACCTCTCAGATTCAGTATCCGTTTGATTTTGTATTCACGTTGGGTCAATTCAGAAACCCTTCACTGTTGCCGACGTTTTCACAACGGCCACATTCAGGTACGTGATCCCATAGGGGGTTGTGACCCTCAGTTAAAGAAGCTTTGAGCTGAAGTCTGTGTCTTACCTTGGGCCACTCAGAAAGTCAGCCCCGGTGGTTGGGAACGGTTGCCAGGAGTCAGTCCTGCTGCTGGGTTGTCCACGCCTCGGTCAGTCACTCACTGTCCACCATCAGGCCCATTCGGGCTTTGCGTTCCCATAGGAGCCCCTAGAATGGCCCTTTTGGGGTTCCGAGGCTATAAATCTTTTCAGGAGCAGAAAGCCTCCTCTTTCTCCCTCGGGGCAACTAGTGGGCTCAAACTGCTGACGGTGTGGTTTGCAGCCCAACACATAAACCACTGGGCCACCAAGGCCCCTTCCCTGTCAGCAGGATTCTCAAATTGTAACTGCACCAAGGGTTGGCGTCCAGAAGGCAGGCGGGAAGGGGGGTGGGGAGGATGGGGAGGAGGTGAAGCTGGTGCCTGATCCGAGTCTAGAAATGTAAGTGAGAGATGAAGGACCTGGTTGTGGAGCTGAGCAGCCCTAGATTTCCGGCCTGACCCCTGCATGCCTAGAGGGTGGGGCAGGTTATTCTCCCGGAGCCTCGGTGCCTTTATCTGTCCATCTGGGATGAAGCAGCCACCTCTCTGGGCTACCGTGTGACACAGGTATAGTGTCAGTACCATGCCAGCTAGAGTGCTGGCCGGTGCTCAGGAAGAGTAGGAGGAATAGCATTTTGACCAAACAGGGGGGTGGGCCTCATCTTCAGAAAGAGGCACAGACCCCAGCTCGCTCTCACTCACTCTCTCTCTGCCATTAGCTGCAGATGCCTGTGAGCTGAGCGCCCAGCCCAATGGGGGCTGTGAGTACCTGTGCCTTCCTGCGCCTCAGACCTCAGGCCACTCTCCCAAGTACACATGCGCCTGCCCAGACACCATGTGGCTGGGCCCGGACATGAAGAAATGCTACCGTGGTAAGCACCGCTGCTGGGAGGGCTGGCCAGGTGATGCCAGAGCCCTGCCTGTTCCTGACCCTTGGTCTCTGGGACGCCGATGACTCCTGGTTCTCCGGGGACTCAGGGCTTTTGTGGGCTCCTCTTCATTCCCGCTTAAATGCTGGTGTCCACCGGGCTCCTTCCAAGACGGTCTCTACTTCCTCCCAAGAAAAGGATGCATGTATTCACAGCATGTTCTTATCAGTTTCAGGGAGTTCCTGGAACCTCTCGAAGACCCCAGGTTAAGAACCTTTTGCGCGCGCGCACACACACACACACACACACACACACACACACACACACACACACGGCTCGGTCACTGTGATTCATCTTCAGGGACTCGGTGCTTTTCTACTTCAGTTAGAACCTAAGACACTACAGAGAAGCCCTGTAATGCTGTGATTACCAGAGCGGAGCCCTTTAAGGATGGGCGGGGGCGAGGGGTCCATGGGTGACTGCTTGGACCACGTCGATGCGGAGCGCCTGCCCTATCTTGATGCACGGCCCAGGCCTTTCTGTGAGCATTGGTCGGCCGTGTCAGCTGGGATTCCACGTCCACCTGTGAAGAGTCCAGTGAACATGACGGTGTAGCAATGGGTGCAAACTCCTTCCAGATTCCTGTGGTCCCCCCCACCACACACACACACACACACACACACACACACACACACACACACACAGTTCTACAGCATTGCTTCAGCCACTCATCTACCAAGCCGCAGCGAGGCTTCAGTGTAGGCAAAGCGCTTAAGAGTCAGTCAGCCAGCCACAGAAAAGCTCATAGCCAGCCAGGGGGCTTTCAGAAGACTTCCCCGAAGTGGCTTTTGGACTGAGGCTTGGAGGTCGAGGTCATGAGTCTATGTCCGGGAGGCTAATGACATAAGTACGAAAGCAGCAGAGCTCACATAGCCCAAGTGACCTGTCTGGCATTTCCCCTCCAGCACCTCCATCTACCTCAACTACCACGGTAGCCTCTGCCGTGCCGAGGACAGTAGCCGCCACCACGAGAGTCCCTGGGACCACCACCCACAGCCCCACCTACCAGAACCACAGCACAGAGACGTCCAGCCTGGCCACCGCAGTCCCAAGCTCAGCGAGTGTCCCCAGGGCTCCCAGCATCGGCCTGTCTACTGCAAGCCCTGCCACCAGCAACCACTCACAGCACTGTAAGGAAACGGGCCCATGCCCCCATGGCCCGGGAGGGGTTCCAGGCAAGGCAGGACGGGCGAATGTGTAGACAGAAGAACTCAGACCACAGACAGAGGAATACGGAATGCTTCCGGGGAGGAAGCCGAGGCGGCAGAGGACACCCCACCCCCAACCCCCACGGGGGACTCCTGCCCATCTCCCAGCCCCACTTTCCTCACCTGCACAGTTAAATTAATGATCACCCTTCTCCAGCCTGCCTCCCCAAGTGCCCTGACAGGCCTCTGCTGACCCAGCATGCGCCGCCGTGTGGCAGAGTATCGCCAGGTCTGGAAACTTCAGAAGCTCTGGGCAGGCTCCTCAGATAGTACTAGACGCCAGCCTGGCCTGCTTGTGGCTCTTGCCAACCCTGGGCTGGAAATAATTAAGTTCAGCACTTCCTAAATCATCAGGAGCAGTAATTGTCACTGCTAGAAATGTTCTGTCTCATTAACCAGCAAATGCCTTTTTAATTGAGTTACCTGCCAGGGGGCGTTGGTCTAAAAGGATGGGCTATCTTTTAACACTAGGGTGTTTTGTTTTTTTCCATACCTGGGTGGCCCAGAAACCAAGCCACCTGGTTGCATCTTTCTAGTTTGGCCCGTTTGGCCAGCAGTAAGTTGGGACTGTCAGAATTGAGCACCTCACCCGCTCCCCGCTTCCAGCGTTTGGAGAGGCAGGAGGAGCTGTGTTCTTCACTCCCCCTGATAGGGAGTCTCACCACTGGTTTCATCAGGCTACCGCCTTGCTGGCAAGCCCCGGAGCAGGAGGAGAGAGCGTCCCCACCATTTTCTCTCTGAGCCGTCAGCTCCTCTCTCCCCTTAATCGTCAGGTTCCCTGGAGCGATCTGAGAACCAGACAACAGGAGAGGATGGGATGGGGGCCCCTGCCTGTGGGGAGTCATCTCCTCTTGGAGTAAATGGAGAGGCTGGCTCCCCCACCCCCATCTCAGAGGGCTGTCCCAGCGATGGTTGTAAAGAAAGCTGGCATTGATGTGCTTTAGACATATGTTTACAGTACATTTTCAAAACACTTTTCGGCTTAGAATGTGATTTTACATGCTTGATTTTATGCAAGTTTCACAGCAATACTATACTCTGCTTCCCCTCGTCATTATTTCATAAACATGCAGACAGCCTACCCAGCATTACCAACGAGGCGAGAGACACTGGCTCAGTCAGCCAGCAACATCCAGACCAAAGTGCCCACTCTGTCCTTGCCCAGCCCGACTGCCTGCCCCTCAAGGCCGAGGGCAGGGTGGGGGCTGGGTGTCATGAGAGTCCCCAGACGCCTCAGTCAGACGGGGTGTCTCCGTCTGCGAAGCAGAGTTGGCCCCTGTCCTGCTGGCCTCCCAGGACTGGGCTGGGATCTGTGGAGCTTGAGCGCTGACGCATCCGGCGGGACCGTCCTTCTGCAGTGAGGGCGAGAAGCAGTGGGACATATGTCTGTGTTTGCAGATGGGAAGGAAGCTGGGGAGATGCGCTCAGCGGTCACTGCTGCCGTCATTGGCATCATCGTGCCCATGGGTGAGTATGGCCCCTGCCCTGGGCAGCGAGGAAAGGGCACAAGCAACAGAAGGAGAGAAGGCAGCCCATTGAACCGCCCCTGATTTTCCTGCCCTGGCAGCCTCCTGCCCCCTCGAGAGCTCACAGTCCCTTCAGGCCCCAGCCTCCAGCAACCCCAAGGTGCCTCCCCACCCATCCCCCATCATTCGCGCTCCACAGACCCATTCTAGCCAAGCCTGGGCGAGAAGCAGCACACCCCACCTGTCAGCTGTCTTAGAGGACACCAGGGAGGCAGCAGCATTAGGCCAACAGCGCGGTGAGGACATCCACCGCTCTGGCGCGTGGTGCAGGCGCCTGCCCGGAGCCCACAGCAATGAGTTCAAGACCCTGCCTTCAGGGGGCTCCGTCTAGCGGGGCACAGTTAAGCAACATGAAATGTTGGCCCTGGTCTGAGACACACGGGGAAGCAGCCCAGCCTCCCTACAGCAGATAGGAGGAGGGGCGCGGACTTCCGATGGAGCCGGAGCCAGCAGGATGAGCCTGGTAGCGGGAAAGGAGCCTGCAGGCATAGAACCTGCGGAGTGGGGAGGTGGCGAGGAACGCACCCCAGGCTGGGCTGCCTGTGGGGGTGGGGGGAGGGAGAGCCACCGGCTGCAACATCCCTTGCCCATCCTCCAGCGGTGATAGCCCTGCTGTGCATGAGTGGCTACCTCATCTGGAGAAACTGGAAGCGGAAGAACACCAAGAGCATGAACTTCGACAACCCCGTGTACCGGAAGACCACGGAGGAGGACGACGAGGACGAGCTCCACATCGGGAGGGCTGCGCAGATTGGCCACGTGTACCCTGCAGTAAGTGTCCCTGCCTGGGAGAGTCCTGCCTCCCCTCCAGCTCCCCTGTCTGCCTCTGTCGCCCCTTCCGCCCTCCTCCCTTCCCTCCTTCCTTTCTCCCTTCTGCAAACATTGACCAAGAACCGACATGTGCCAGGCATTGTTCTAGACCCTGGGGCCCGAGAAATGCTAGGGCAGGTGGTTGGGTGGTAGGACAGCAGGGCCACCTTACACCTAGAGGCTCTTCCTGGCTGTAAATACTAAAACCTTTAGCCAGGAGGTTGGAACTATGGCTATTCAACGCAACTCTACCCATTTCAACAGACAGTGTATGCCAGTTAGGTGCCCGGCGCCATAGTAGCTGCATCAAACATGCAGAAGGACTGAGGAATGGTGCTTGCTCCCAGAGAGCTGGAGGGGAGTCGGTTGCTGACACTGTTGTACACCTGTGTGCCAAGTGCCATGGTGGAATCTCAGGGGTTCCCCCACCCCACCCCTACCCCTGCTTTTCTGACTTGCTTTGTTCTCCCACAGCCCTGCGGGTCTCTCTCCAACACAGCACCTATCACACCAATGTCTACTTATCTCTTTACTGCCTGGTCTCCCTACTAGCCCGTGAGCTCCTTGAGGGCAAGTCTGTCTGATTAATCCCCTTCCCTGGTGCCCAGCACGGCCTAGCTAGCTGGCTCCTCCTAGTTCTGTGTTGAATGGATGCTGTGGAACCGTCAACCAGGTAACTCTTGATCTAGCCAGGAACCCTAAAGGGAAGGCCTCGCAGAGTAGGCAGCAGGCAGTGTGCGTCCGTAGAACATTCAGGCAGTTTTCCAGGTAGAGGAGGAGGGAAATGACATCCCAGACAGATGCATGTGCAGAGGTTTAGTGGCACAAGCAAAGCATGACTTGTTGGGGGACCACGGGCCCACCAAGTGGCTGGAGCAGTTGTCATTGTTGTGTTAGCAGAGTCAGGGGGCTGAGTGTGACCTCAGGGGTCATCCGGTCCATCCCCCTGTCAGGCAATCAGCAGCTTTGATCGCCCACTGTGGTCAGAGCCCTGTCTTGGGGAGACCAGAGAACTGGAAGAGCCAGCCCCTGCCCGCAAGGAGCTTTTTGTCTTGCCGGGAGAACCAAGGTCACAGCTGCACCAACTCCCGAAGAACCCTCTTTCCGAGCTGCCTGTCGTCAAGTGCAAGGTAGGGCAGTGCCACTCGGAGTCCCAGGGGCTGGTGAGTGAGGGCGTGCACCCAGGCAAGCGCAGCCAGCGCTCCTCCTAGCGCTGCCTCTGGAAGGCTGCCACTTGTCCGCCGGGGGGCGGGGCCAAAGAGGTGACAAGGACTCAGCAAACGGCAGGTGGAAGTTCAGTGGTCGAGCACCTAGAATGGCCACTGAAGCAAATTGTTCAGGAAAGGGAGACCTGGGGGACAAAGCTGAGCAAGCGAGGATTTCACCTGAGCCCATGCAGGCAAGCGGCTGCTTCGCCGGTCTTTAAGGAGCAAAGAGAGCGAGGAGGCAAGTGGAAGGAGCTTGGAGCCGCGAGCCAGGCGTTGCGCCCCGGCTCCGAGATTCCACCGCCCCGCGGCCTGACCCGCCCGTCCCTCCGCTCGCTCATTTGTAAAATGGGAATAATAAGGCCCATTCTCTGTGCCTGCCGAGTTTGTGCAGTTCAAGTGTGAGAGCACGTTGCAAATCCTAACGCAGTCTGCACGCACACTGCAGCGCCACGCCAGAGACAGAAACTCACCCCGGGGGAGCTGTTCCCCGTGGGTCTGAACCCCGCCGAGCACCTGCCGCGTGCCAAGGAGCCCTGGTGGCGCCTGGCTAAAGATGTGGCAGTCTGCTTCCCAGAGATTGACCTCCGCGGAGACTTCCCGGGCCGCTGTCCTGTTTGCTAGGGCGGCTGTGAGTCAGAACGGACTTGATGGCAGTGGGGCGGGAAGGGTCCCCATGTGTCAGACCCGGTGCCCAGTGCTTTGCGTTCATGTTTGCGTGTTATTGTCAACCTTACAGCGTTGACACATGCACCCCATTTTTCAGATGAGGAAACTGAAATTTAATAACTTGCCTAAAGTCGGGTGGTGCTGTAGGCTAGGCATTGGGTAGCTAACCACAAGGTTGGTAGTTCAAACCCACCAGCCACTCTGAGGGAGAAAGGTGAGGCTGTCTGCTACCTTACATTTTACAGTCTTGGGAATCCATATGGGGTCACTACGAGTCAGAATTGACTCGATGGCAGTGGTGTTTTTGTTGCTTTAAACACCTATGGGCACCTATGGGCACATAAGTGTTCTCAGGCAACATAGTGGCTGTGCACTCAACTACAGCCCAAAGGTTGGCATTAGAACCCATGCGGAAGGAAGCACCTCAAAAGACAAGCTTCTGAAGGTCACAGAATCAATAGGAGGCACAACTACAGCGGCAAGGTCCCAGAGCCAGAATGCAGCCGGACCATGATTACACTCCAGTCTGCATACTCTCCCCCCTGCCCCAAACCCACTGCCATCCAATGCACAGGGACCCGGTGTAGGGTTTCCGAGACTAAACCCTTCCAAGGGCAGGCAGCGCCCTTTCTCTCCACTGTATCCTGGGACTAATAGTCTGGAAGCTCCGCCTGTCATTGTCCCTCCTCTGTGGTGATCTTCCCTGCCCCTGTCTTGGGTAGCTCCATCGTCACTGCTGGGCCCTGTCTTTTGAACAGAGTGGGCAAGGGGCCAAACCAGGAGCTAGCCTGAAATATCTTTGCTAGTGGAGCCCAAAGATGATTTGGGAGTCAATGGAGTTCCTTGTCAACCGAACATAGCATGTCTAGAATGTTCTGTTTTGTACTGACTGATGCAGACTGCTCTGAGCCAGCCCTGTGTGCATTAGGTACAATATTAAGCACTTGCATGCATTATCCCATTTGATTTCCCCCGAAACCTTTTTAAGTACATTCTATTATTATTCCCATTTGACAGATGATTAAAGTAAGGGTCAGAAAGGTGGCCTGGCTAGCCCCAATGCACATAGCTCTGAGAAAGGGGTGATGAGGAGTCGCTGTTCATCGCTACAGGATTTTTGATAAGGGGGATGAAGATTCTGGTGACACTTGGCTAGAAGCATATTTGTAAAAACTCTGAACTTTGTACTTTGAATAAGGGAAGTGTATGACATATGACTTACAGCTCAATAAAGCTTTGCTGGAAAAAAAAGGTTTTTTTTAAAGATCATTTAAATTGTCCAAAGGAGAGTTGCCAGGAAACAGAAGATGAGAAACCAGGTTCCATCAGGACCAGTTGGGGAAAGCCAGAGATGGGAAAAGCCAGAAGGAAGCAGGGGAACTCTAACACCATCTGCAAGTGTCACGGGCCATCCTTCTAGGGCGCTTCTGAATCTAAGAGACAGAATCAGGAACATTAGAAAAGATTTTAAAAAAAACGGTAGAAAACAACTTAAGTCCACTGTCCACAGTGAAGTAGGCTGCCCCCAGGATGAGTCAGCTCATTGACTAGTGGCTGGTCACTTGGGTCAGGGGGGATTCTAGCAACTACTGAGTGGCAGCAAGTGTCGAGGGAAGGCGGGCCGAATTGCAGTGGCCAGCATTGTCTTCTCATGTATGATTAATCGGGAGGGATGCAGCAGAGTCAGCTTCCTAATTATGATTGATTTACTGAAGACAAGTAGCTAATGGTCAGGGATTCAAAACTGTGCCAAAGCTAGCCCGTTAAAGTTGGACAGCTCCTATAAGGGACGACTGAGAAGGCTTGGATCTCTGTAGCCCTCCTTTACAAAGGGTAAAACGATGGGGAAAACAACAGCCCTGGATTTACACAGAGCCTTGGTGGGTGCTATCTGGTGAGCATTGGGCTGCTAACTGCATAGGTCAGCAGTTCAAACCCACCAGTCAATCATGGGAGAAAAGGCTGTCTGCTCCCTTAAAGGTTTTTGTTTTTTTTAATTATGGAAAAAGTAAAAATTATTATTCTAAAACCATCTTTCTATTTAGTACTAATGTGAATACAATTGGAAAAATAAAGGAATTTTTTTTGCTTGAGTTAAAAAAAAAGATCTCCAGTCTTGGAAACCCTAAAGAGCAGTTCTACTCTGTCCTGTAGAGTCATATCAACTCGAGAGCAGTGGGTTTGGGTTGTTGTTTGTTTGCTTGTTTGTGGAGCTCAAGTTCACCCACTTGCTATATGATCCAGGGCAAATGCTTAAGCTCGCTGAGTCTGTTCTCTCATCTGTGAAATAAATGTGACCAACCCTTTCCCCTGGGCTTGTTTGAACACTGCAATGTAATCACGTGTCTGTAGCTGCCCCGGGTCTAACGATGATGTCTTTGATCTTTCTCCCCCTCAGCGAGTGGCTCTGAGCCTTGAAGATGACGGACTGCCCTGAGGATGGGACCACTCTCTTCGTGCCTCGTGGAATTCAGTCCCATGCACTGTATTCTCTGGATGGTGTGGACACCTGGTTTCTGTATATGGGCCAGTGTGTGTGTGGGTGTGAGTGGTGTGTGTGTGGGGGTGTGTTTTGGTTTTTTTTAATTTATGGTGCGGGAAGGAAACCACAAAGTTATGATGAACTGCAAACATCCAAAGGGTGTGAGAGTTTTTATATGTATAATGTTTTATACACTTTTTACCTGGTTGCACTGTCCATGAGAAGCTCATGCAATGGCGCCTGCTGAGTGACTAACCAATGCACATAACTACACGGGCCGGTGGCACACTCGCTTACTCGTCGTCTTAAAACTGTACGTGCAGAAGAAGCTTGGTTTCTTGGGAGTTCTTTGTCTTTCGTTTTGTTCTTTTTAGGTTTCTGGGTCGGTTTTTTTTGTACATAAAATAATTATGCTTTGTGGCTATCCATCAACATCAGTAAAAAAGGGGAAGAAGAACACGTTAAGCCCCCTTTGCCCATTTAGTTTATTTATTAACATATTTCAACAATGAGATGAGTTTTATAATTTAGAGAAGTGAGAGTATTTATTTTTGGTGTGCTTGGCTCTCTGTGGAGGATCCCTGGTGGTGCAGTGGTTGAAGCACCCCACTGCCACCCAAGAGGTTTGGACACGCCAGCCATTCCACAGAAGAAACGCGTGGCAGTGTGCTTCCTTATAGATGTGCTACTGCCCTGGAAACCCTCTGGGGCAGGCCTGCTGTCGCTGGGATTGATTTGAGGGTAGTAGGTTTGGTTGTCTCTCTGAAGGGGTGTATGTGTGTGTGTGTGTGTGTGTGAGAGAGAGAGAGACAGAAATCTGTAGAGAAGAGTGCACACTTACAGCTTTTGTTCAAGTGCACAGAGATAAATATGTTTTAAAACGATCCACCAGAGCAGTGTCTGTTGTTCCCAGAGAAGTCGTCAGCAATCTGATTCAGAAAGCAGATACCATGGGCTTCAAGAGCCCATCTCTTCCACATCTGGCTCTTGGTGAGGCTCCCGTCAGTCAGGAGAAGAGCCAAACTCCCCCGTGGTGGCTGTGGCTCAGGCCTGGGCTGTCTGTTCTGCCGCTGCAAAAGGCCCGTGTGCAGACGTTATTCAGGGCCAGAAGCACTTAGGAGCCCCCATCAGAATGTGCCCACACCTACTTTTAGAAGTTCGGCTCTTTCAGTAATTAATTTCCTTAAGGATCCCTGGGTTGGCGTTATTACGTTTCCTCTGCAGCACCCATCCTCTGCAGGGTGCCATCGTTGCATACAGAGCTAAGAGGAGGCTGTTTGCAAGACAGCCCACCTTCACCCTTAGGGACTGACTTGCTCAGCACTGAACACCTCAGACATGCTGTGGGTGACCAGTAGAATGGTGGGTTTTACTACATCTCTTCCTGCTTCTTCCTTCCTACCGTTTCCTTTAGGTAGGGAACACATTTTAAATAATAAATAGGTTTTTTACCATCATATGTCATATAGGTGAAACTAATGTTTTTAAGTCAGAAAAAGTAGCCAAACCAGAAGTTATATTTGAGGGGGAAATGGCCCAGCCAGTATATTATAGTATATCGGACATATATATGCTCATGCAAGAATTCGGTTTATTGCTTTGTAAATAAAAGAAGAGATTCTGTATATGTATAGATTTTTATTTTCCCCATTATGGGCACTGTCTTTGTTTTTCCTGGGCCATGGCAGGTAGGAAGAAGCGCTCTTTTTCTGTTTATGGGGTCCATGCTGGAAATGCTACAGCCCCAGGAGGAATTTAGCCCCCACTGGCTCTCTCATCCAAATGTAGTCTTCTGAATGTTCCGCCACTCCTCACCCCCATCGTGGGACTAGGGCCAAGGTGTGACGGGGAAGTACTTAGCTTAAGTAGGACCAGCAGACAGGTATCTGACCTTAACATGCCTGAAACTCGACATACTTAAGCAAGTACCACACCAGCCTCCATCTCAATGAAGGTTTGATGTCTCACCAGCTTGATAGCCCTTGAATTTCCAGGTAGACCCTTGAGGGGTTCTCTCACTTGTCCCCCGGGCCTTCCTCTGCGCCACTCAAGGGTCCTAACTAGCTCTGACAAAAACAGCTGTGTACAGGATCCCGGGCACCGTGCTCTGTATAAAGTTTCCTCCCGATCTGCATGCGTCTTGATAGTCTGGAGATATTTCTTGAGAGGTTACATGCAATTAACCCGGAACAATCAAGACCAAACAGAATTTAAGGAACAGGTTGGCCAACTCCTATGGAGCTTAATCACCTACGACCTTCTTTCAAGAATGGAAAGTAATGTCATTTTTGAGGGAAGAACAACCCTGAACTTGACCCAAAGCAAGTGACTTTGCCTGTGTCCTGCTTCCAAAGAAATGGCCTGAACGAAGTAAGTGACCGACGGGTCATTTCTAAACTTTCCGTCAGATCTGGCTTTCACGGGGAAGGAACAAAAAAGGCCAGGGCGATGCAGCCTGAGGTCTCAGAATGATGCTGACACCTCTGTCACAGATGTCTGGCTTCTGAGCATGCCACAGGTCCCGTAGGAAAGGCCAGGACGGGCGAGGCCTACACAACCCAAGCCGGGAAATCCTCACCGCCCCGGATGGCAATAAATAAGAACACCTGAGGCGTCCGGTCCCCTCCTGCTGCCCCAGTCCGACCACAGGTGTGGAGCCCACCCGCTGCCTGTGGGAAGACCGTCCCGCAGCACTCTGGGAGAATCCGGCTCTCCTAGTCCGAGAGGCCTGGGGGCCGCCCCTAGAATGCGGTCGCATTTGTTGCCTTTTGGCCCCTGTGCCTGGTCCATCTGCTGCCGGGCGTGGCGCTGGAAGGAGGGCTCTTCGCGCCCATGGCAGGGGGACGCAAAATGAATTTACCAGGCAGTCTTTTCCCAGCCCTCTCCTCCCTGCTCCAGGGGGCAATTCCGGCCGCCTGAGCACCCTATCCCGTGTGCTGCCTCTCCTCGGAACGTGATGCTGGGTGCCCGCAAGTGATTTCTGACCCTGAGCCACCCCAGGGGGCACAGTGAAACTGCCCAGAGCGTCCTCCAGGCCCGTGTGGACCGGAGCGGCGGCGGCGGGCTCAGATCGCCCCCTGGTCGTTTGGTCGCCAAGCGCGTAACCGTTGCGCCACCGATGCTCCTGTGACTTCGGGGTCGCGTGGGCGCCCACGCGGGACGCGCACGGCCGTGCATGGCGCCCCCCACGTCTCGGCTGGAGCCCCGGCGCTGCGGGGGTGCAGCGCTCCCTGGGCTAGAGCCCCAGGCCGGAGGGGCCCGGAGAAGAAGGGGCTCCAGGCTAGGTCTTCCGGCGGAGGGAGAACGGAGGAGGCAGCGGCCGCCCCGGTTGTGGGCCTGCGCGCGGTCCAGCGAATGGACAGGAGGCTGCCCGAATAGGGTCCGGGAAGCACTTTATACGACGCTCCAGGGTAACGACCCGGTCAGCCTGCATCACGGAAGACACCCGAGTGTGTGGCCGGCACGTGGCCGGCGTGCCTCTGTTCAGCGTCAAGCGTTGTAGTGACCAAAGGGGAATCCGAGCTGGGTTGCATGTATCTGAGTCAACGTGTTTTGCTGTCGTTGATGGAAACTATGGCGCGGGTCGAGAGCTGGTCACAGAAGCGTTGCAGGTGGTGAAAGCCTCCGGGTTTCCTCAGTCATGACAAAGGAAGGCAGGGTCACTGCCCCAGCCAGGTGCTAGTGGGGAGTGGGGGCCTCCCCTCCACGCCCCCACTCCCTAACTCATTGTTTCACAGGAGGAAGTGACGAGTGAGAAGTTGCTGAGGGAACAATTTACTTCCCCATCAATGCATGAAGATAGTGTTGGGTTTTTAGGGTACTAGGGATTTGGCATAGTGAGTTTACAGGTTGGACGGTAACCTCCAGGTCCAGCTGTTCGAAACCACCAGCCACTCCTCAGGACAAAGATGAGGCTTTCTACTCCTGTAAAGAGTTCCCGCCTTGGAAACCCACCGAGGCAGGTCTACTCTGCCCTGTGTGAGGGAGAGTCGACTTGCTGGCAGTGAGTGACAGGATGTTCAGGTGATGGAGAACTGAGGTGGGGGAATGACAGCTCCACACTTTCAGTGAATGGAAGAAACCAGGAGCTCCGTTCTTTCCGACTGTGCACCATGTGTACAGTCCGAGATTCTGCAGAAGCCCTCTGTATTTGCAAACACTGTGCTATAAAAAGTAATAGAGAAAAAAGCCACCTGTATATATACATATACATATATATATATTTAAAGACATGGAGGTTTTGATACTTTTTTTTTTTCTGTCACAAAAGCTACAAGAGAAAACATACCTGTACAGACCATGTGTTTTAAAAGTGTTTTGCTCTAGGCAAGCTGTCACTAATTTGGGGGTGAAGCTCCGGTTTGCGAATTGCATCCCATGTGGATTGTTCCCAAGTGGATTGTCCTTGTTTGTCTTCACCCTCCCCGCCTCAGACGACGGTCTTTGATGGAACAGGCACGTTAGATGTGGGGTCACTCTAACCCTCTCTGCCTTTGGTCTTGGCATCCCACGTTCTCAGAGCTATTCTCTGCTCAGGGGCCAAGGTGAGGTGGGGTGCTGCTGCACTAGCTGCTCTGACATCCTGGTGAACTGGAAACCAAGCATGGACATTTGTAAAATCAGTGCACTGTTTCTAGAGAGACATTAAATTCATTTTTTAAAACAGAAAAGTGTTGTTCGTTATGTTCCTTTAGGGGGGAGGTGTGGGCCGGACATTTTGCATAAATGATCTCAATCTTCCTGTACGATCTTGTGAGATAAGTGTTATCAATTCATCATCCCTCTTTTACAGCTAAGGAACTGGCTGAAGTAACTGCCTAACTTCACAGGTATTTTTTAGTGCTCCCAACAAGTCACAGCACATTCTCCACCTGTTTTCCTTCTGTCTCGTCTGTTATCTGACAAGAGCCTATTCGCCCTTGAGGACTCCACATGGATAACACCCATCCTAATCTCTGAGAGGGGCTTAACTGACCAGGATCCCTGGTGGTGTAGTGGCTACACATTGGGCTGCGATCTGCATGGTCAGCAGTTCAAAACCATTTCAGAAACATACAGGCGGTGGGTTTGACTTGAATCAGCATTGACTTGATGGTACGGAAAGCCGTCCTTACCCTGAGCACCCAACCAGGACCTCCTTGCTGATGAGTCTTGTAACTGTGTCCATCCCTGGATCTCTGGAAGTAGTACAGATAGCCAGTCCTGTACAGACAGTGTGTTCCAGCTATGGCATGACTGTCTGTTTCGGCATCTCTGCATTTCATTGTTAGTAATATGAACTTCATGCAACGTAGTTTGGAATTCGCTGGTGTTATCATTCTCAGGCGTTCACGAGTAGATGTTACTGTCATGTTTCCAACCCCCCAAGACAAACATCAGATTTATAAAGCTACTAGCAATAAAAGGCAATAATAATGTAAACTTTTTTTAAAAGGGGGGATATTCAACTTACTACAGAACCAACCAGTGATAAGTCTGTTGTAAATTGGGGGCTAACCCGTACAGTGCTGACTACTCTGCTCTTAGGATGCTCTTATTTTGGCTTCCATGGCACCAGATGCCTGGTTTTCCCCTTGTCCCCTGGGCCGCCTCTTAGCCTTTGCCTTCTCTTGTATTCCATCTCAAATCCATTCACCTGTGGTTTCCGCTGCCATTATTCAAATACAGAGCAGTGCCCCTTCAATGACCACCACCATGGATGTTTTAACGACAACTTCCATAAGGGGCAGTGGTGGGTCAGTGGTAGCGCTCTCAGCCTCAATTCAGGAACCCACGGTTCAAATTCCAGCCATTGCCCGCCCCTACGTGGAGATTTGTGTGTTGCTGTAATGCTAAATAGAAGTCAGTGGAGATTCCAGACTAAGACAGACTATGGAAGGAGGAGCTGGTGATCTGAAAACCAGTCCATGGAAACCCTATGGCTCCCATTAGTCTAAAGCCCGGTCAAGCAGGGCAATGGACCAGGACCAGGCAGTGCTTTGCTACACGAGCTGGGTTGCTGGAAGCTGTTTCAATATGCCGGCTTAACCTACAACATGGAAGCCACAGTCATCTTTCTGAAATGCAGTAGTAGGCCTCATCGTCACTGCATGTTTCCACCCCCTGCCAGAAACCCTTCAACTGCAGCTCTTGGGTTAAAATCCAGTACTGCATGATTCAAGCCCAGCCTCCTCAACATGCCTTTGTAAGGATCTCGATGATTTGGCTTTAGCCTCTTCACTCTAAGCACTCACTGTTTTACAAGGGAGTTTCAGAAAGTTCATGGGAAACTTCCATTATCTCTCAGTTCTGCTTTGCCATGAGCCTTTCGGAACCCTTTTGTGTGTTATAACCACACTCAATTTTTCTCAGTTCTTCAAAGGCACATGTTCTTTTATATTTGTTTTCTTAAAATCTATTGTTCCCTCTGGCTGGAGCCTTTCCTTCAGGAAGTCTTCCTTGGGAAATGTCAAGGGGGGGAGGGGGAGGTAATGCACGAAGGGGGGGAGGTGTTGAAACAGGCTAGGATGACTTACTTTTTATGACTTTACAGCAATTTACAGTTTTCCAAGTATTTTCCCACTGTTTTCATCCTAACTACTGTTCTGCTAAGTGTATAACTTGAAGCTGTGGTGTGAAGAGTCTACACACTTGACCTAGGGCGCCATAAATCATGCTTTTTACCAGGGAATATTCTAATCCCCTGTGGTAGGTGGTGGGTTGCTAACTGCAAAGGCAGCAGTTCAAAACCACCCACTGCTCTAAGGGAGAACGATGGCGCTATCTACCTCCTCCCATAAGCAATAAACAGTTACAATCTCAGAAACTCATGGGGCAGTTCCAGCCTGTTCTATAGGGTTGCTCTGAGTCAGCATCGACTTGATGGCACTGAGTTTTGTTTTGTTTTGATTCTAGCTCAATCTTCAGTGATCCCCCGCCCCCTTCATATAGCCACTCTACAATCTGCTCCTATGATTCTTCCACGGAGAAAGGAGTAGTGATAAAGCTGGGAGTGAGAACAAGGGCCACTGGCGTGGTTAACAGAAGAGCACACAGTCACCAGACCCCATGAATGATGTTCCTTCAGAACCTTCTAGAACCAATCCCCCTCCCGCACCTTCCCCACCCCGCCCCGCCCCCGCTCTGTGCCTGAGACTTAGGTGAACTGCAAGCAGGCCTCGATCATCAGGATTTTAATTGACCTTGGCTGACTGAACTTGTAAAGTTTTTCTATAGACAGAAAACTTTCACAGAAGTCAACCACTTCGGACTGAAAAATAAGCCAGCCTGAGTCACTTGGGTGGGGCGTCACAATAGCTAGGTCCACCACCAGAGGGTTTTATTTCATTGGATTAGCCTGGGGCCCAGGCATCCATGTTGTTCAGGTGCCCTCCTGGTGCTTCCGTGGGGCAGTCAGAGCCGAGAATCCCTGCTGGGTAAGGCAGTGTGGAGTCGGAGATCAACTACAGTATTCCATTTCACTTTGACCCAGCAGCACCGACTCTGGGGGCCAGAGAACAAAAAGCCGGTTTGTTATTTTCTTCAAACGTTTGGTAGTTTCTTTGGAAACACTCCATAGTGACCTGTGTACAACAGAGGGGGGAAACCATTTTTTGGACCTGCCTCATCCTCAGAATTGTTGTTATATCTATGTCCATAGTTTTTTCTGTGTCTGCCCACACATTGTTTCCCTTGTTTTGGCCAACCTCTGCCAGGTGAAAGGTCTAGTGCCCTGTCTTTCTTGATGGCATGTCCAAAACAAGCGAACAAAGTCATGTCATCTTTGCTTCTAAGAGCATTCTGGTTATATTTCTTCTAGGACAGATAGATGCGTTCTTTTGACATCCAAGGGTTGTTGTTGTTAGGCGCCAGCTGGTCGGTTGAGACACATAGTGATCCTATAGTGAAACACTGAAATTGTCCAGGAATTCATTTTACTTGGATCCGTAATCAATTTACGGATTCAAGGGAAGCAGCAGTCAAAATCTCAAATGGCAAATTTCACTGGACAAGATCTCTCTAAAGTGCTAATAAGCAACGATGTCACTTGGAAGACTACGGTACGACCTCCTGGAGCCATGGTCTTTTTCACATTAGAAAGCAGGGCAATGAATAAGACCGAAGAATTGGTGCATTTGAATCCTGGTGTTAGTGAAGACATTTGGATATACCACGGACTCCCACAAGTCCGTCTGGAGGAAATAGAGTCAGCATTTCGTTCTGTTATACATACGCTCGCTATTAGTGGGCCGGCTCGCTGGCACTGAACAACAAAAGCAAGGTCCAGCCGAGCGCGAGCCTTGCCCGAGGCACGAGCGTACACGGTTGAACCTGGAGGCACTAAGGGCTCCGTCAGGGCCTTTGCGCTAGACCTCGGGGTTCCAGACTCAAAGCCAGAGTCTATGGCGACTTCTGACTTCAAAGGCCACCTAGTTAGGGAGGGGGCGTGGAACTCTTGAGTGCAGACTCCACCTCCGCGGGCGAGAGGGGCGGAGCAGCCTCGTTCCCGTCTCAGGGAGAGGCGGGGGCAGCCTTGGCCCCGCCTCCAAGTGGGAAGGGCACAACGGCCTCGTTCCCGCCTCAGGGAGAGGCGGGGGCAGCCTTGGCCCCGCCTCCAAGTGGGAAGGGCACACCGGCCTCGTTCCCGCCTCAGGGAGAGGCGGGGGCAGCC